GGCTGTCTCAAATCACCTCTTTGCCTTGCATGTGCCTTTACATTGCCTCCAGGAGGATCCATTCCATGGTCTTGCCAGGCACAGAGGTGAGGCTTACCAGTCTGTAATTCCCCAGGTCCTCCTTTCTACCACTTTTTAAAAATGTGAGGGATGTTTCCCTTTTTCCAGCGACTGGGCACTTTGTTTGACTGTCATGATTTTTAAATATGATGGAGAGTGGCTTGGCAACTACATCAGACAATTCCCTCAGGACCCTGGGATATATGTCACCAGGCCCTATAGACATGCAGTAATTAAGTTGTGTCAGGAGGTCCCAGATTTGCTCTTCACTTACAGTGGGAGGGACTCTGATCCTTCAGCGCCTGTCTAGATGTTCAGGGACAGCAGAGATGTGGGGAGCCTGACCACTAGTGAAGACAGAGACAAAGAAATTTTTAACTACCTCTGCCTTCTCCACATCTGTTGTTACCACTTAACCTGTTTTCATTTGTCAGAGGTGGTACAATCTCCTTAGTCTTTCTTTTGCAGCCAATGTACCTGTAGAACACCTTCTTGTTATTCCTTGCAGCCCTTGTGAAGTTAATTCTGTCAGTGCATTGGCTTTCCTGATCCCATCCCTGCGTGTTTGGACAATGTTTCTGTACTCTTTCCAGGGCACCATCCATCCATCCATCCATGCTTTCCACCATCCGAGCATTTCCTTCTTTTGCCTAAGTTTGACCAGCAGGTACTTGTTCAGCCATTCTGGTTTCCTACCTTTCCTACTTGACTTATTACATATGGGACTAAAGAGCTCTTGCACTCTAAGAAAAATAAAAGATACATTATATATTAAATTATGTATATTACAGATATATTAGATGTCTTCATCTGGTTACCCACTGTATTTCAAAAAGGCACAGGTCTTAAGTCCTGTGTCACACCTATGAATCAGACATCTCAGATACCCAGGGCATCTGAAATGAAACTGGAAGTCTGTGTCTGGGTAAAAGAAAATCAGCCTTGGCGAGATGAATTATTTTCTAGGCTCCACTGACCCTAAGCTGTCATTGTTTTTTCAGAAGCTTGAATAGTTCTCTGGACAGCTCTAACCAGTTGCTATAATGTTAAAGTGAAAACTACTACAATAGGCCTAATTGCCTTTTGATATCATAAGATAATTCATCTCTTCGTGACACTGCTGTAGTTAATGACATTTCTGTCACCATACTGCCACAAGGAGGTAGATATTGCCAAAGAATTGCTGAGTGAAGGCTTTATGTTGACCTCTCTCACTATACCTGTGCTAGAAAGGCCATTCTTTCTTTTGCCCTTCAGATAAGATAACTTATCTTCTTTCCCAGGATGATCTAGAAGTATATCTGTAGTCTAAAATAGCAGAGTACCTTCATATCAAGGTACTGCTCTCCATGACTCCTGAGTGACTACTGGTATGCCACTAACCTTATGATTCATTACCTCTGCATGATGGGTATCAGTATGATGCAGCATCAAAAATACAAGGCAGAAATTTGAATATATGAGATAATTTGATCTTTACAATGCCCAGAGATACAGAACTGGAAAACAACAACAACAACAACAAAAAGCATTCTGGGGTTTAATTTTATGAATAATTTGTCTGGCATTAAATTTATAATATCAAAGTTATCTGGACTCCCAGGTAGGTATTTCTAGAGTATCTAAGAATAAATTAAATTATATTAAATGTTTCAAGCTTAACTGTCTAATTTTAGCCACCAGCACAAAATTTGCTGTAAATGCTGTTAAGTGTTGATAAGTACAATTATGTGTTGTTAAGTACAATTCAACTTCTATACAGTCATTCTTTGATTTACTTACTAAAATAAATGTCAAATAAAATGATAAAGTTATGTTGCTTTGTTGAGTAATGGATAGACAACAGAATTCTAGCATTCAGGTCATAAGTTATATGGTTAATCTATGCAATAGGGCAGTTGAACCATGAATGTTGTGAGTTGAACCATGAATGTTGTGAGTCACCACTTTTGTTGTGCGATGAAGAAAAGACAGTGTTTTTCATAAACTGATATCCAGTTCTCTTTGATCCATGCTTTTGTGCAGCCTATATCCCAGGTGAAATACAGATCTTAAGCTAAAACATTGTATTTCTGCTTTTTTTTTTTTTTTTTTTTTTTTTTTTTGTAGTTGTTGATATGTGTGACAGGGATCAGTGAAAAAGTAGCTATTTCCTAGTCAACCCTTAAAATCTAGTTCATTTCCTAGAAATGAAAGAGTCTTTTAGAAGATAAATTGAAAATTTGTTTGTTTGTTTCTCATTTTCTTCTAAATACTTTCTCATTCTTTACTGTGTAACTTTCTTCATTGGTAAAGTTTGCTGTCATTAAATACAAGAACATTTCCCCATCTTTTACCCAGACTGCTCAGTTACCCTGTTGTGGCTGCCTCTGCTGCCACATTCTGTTCTTAATTAGGTTTAAAGATATTTTGACTTGTTTCATGGTGTCACTAATGGTCTCTGGACTGTAATTGTCTTTTGTCACTAGTTTAATTGTTCTCTCTTTGGCTTTTCTGAGTGAGCTGAAGAGTCAGGAAATTGTTCTTTTTGTTTATATTTCAGATGGTTCCATCCACTTTTCATTTTAATTCTTATAAGCTTGCAGACATCTTCAATGCTGCTTCATTCTTCCTTATGTTATCCACTCCTCTCCTTAATGTGGACTTTGTGAGGACTTGACTTACTAAGTCTTCATTGGTGTTGCTTGCTAATTTTTGCTGCATGTCAGCTCATTGGATCATTTCCTTCACAGGAGAAATGAGTGCACACATGTATGTGATTGTCTTAGCTATCATGCTAGAGAGTTACTATTGCTCTTCCTCTAAATTATAATATATATAAAGAAGAAATTCTTTACTCAGAGGATGGTGGAACCTGGAACAGGTTTCCCAGAAAAGTTGTGGATGCCCCATTCATTGTTTCTGTGATTCTACAATTCTATGATTTTATGAATTTGCCACTGCTTTTTTCCTGAGAACTCGTTTCTACAATAGGCTTGGGTTAAAGCACTCTCATGCCCTAAGGCCTTTCATGTTTGCAATATACTTTTTTTGCTACTGTGCTTGTTAGTATTGCTCATAACCTTTCTTTCTACATTTAGATGAGTAGTTATACTGATGGTCTGTCAGATGTGGAAACAAATAATTAGGCAATAACCACAAGCAATGGAAATAAAAGAAATCTCATAAGTTGACATGTTCTTAGGGAAGTACAGCTCAGTTTTACAACTGTGAATGTTATGGCTATTTTACAACATTTGCTAATATATCCTAATTGTTCTGTGGCCAACACCATAGAGCCCTATGTCAAAATAGATTTTAAATACTGCCACAGGGTGAGTATGAGGAAATAATGATAGCAATCTAAAATGTGACTAACTAATAAAATTTACCCTCTGAGCTTTCTGAAATATTATTTTTGAGTCTTTCTTTTGGTAATTGCAGCACCGTTGAAATCAAACGACCTGTGGCAATTCAAAGGATCTGAGAATTGTTCCCATTGTACTCAAACAATGGGATGAAGTTCTCGACATTAACATAAGCAAATATCCACTCCATTTCAGAAGAAAACTGGATGAAATCAATTATCCAACTTCTACTCCTGCAAAGACAAATGATGTGTTAAAATTTCTTGTATAATCATGTAAAGGAATACCTGCAGCTATGCTTCAAGCAGCAGTTTTTGTTTGGCTGGGTATAGATAGAGTAATATAACTAGTGATGATACTTTATACTCATTTAACACCTTTCATCACAAACTACATTACCAAACACTAGTTATTTGAGCCTTACAACATGTCTGTAAAAGGCTATTATACCATTGTGCAGATTGCACACAAAGATTAAATGGCTTGAGTTAGGCCACACAGAGAGTGAGTAGCAGAGCCAAAAGGAGAGCGTGAGCATTGGCTCCCAGCCCTGTGCTCTAACTACTGGACTCCACTTCCTTAATACTGAATTCCCATATCGTTTCTCTAAAAGAGCTACAGAAACTTTTGAGCACTTGATAATTTTTAGTGTAATGCTGAACTGGTTGTGCCTCTCTCCACTGCTCCTGCATGACACTGCATGATGTTATTCCTACATTTTTAAAGGTCTCATTTTTACAGGTTGTCCCAGGTTACCTGGCTCTGGGGGTCGATCAACCTGACATTGTGGTGCTCCTATTCCCTGTCCCCAATATACAACTGTTGCCTGCCACAGCTTTGCTCTGCTAGCTTTTCTCATGGCCTCAGCGCTACGCCCTGAGCTCCATTGTGTGAGTGGCTGGACCATTCTGTGCCTAAATAATTCCTGCTATATGCTAGCTAATGTGAAACAGATGTCTCGTAGGCACTGGAGACAGCTTTTGGTCCTGCTGCAGCTGTCATTTCCCACAGGCAGGCAGGTAACAGATATTTGCCAGGCACAACCTTCCTAAAGGTTTGTGCTGCACCTAGTGTGTGCGTGCACCTCTGAGTGAGGAAGTGGGACCAGTGAGGAGCAATTCTTCATGTTCTGAGCATCTCCGGTGCCCAGAGATGAACAGCATCAATGACGCTTGCCCTGGCAGCTGTAGGCATGCCCAGACACCTCCCAGTGCATCACAGTCTGAGCTGGGGCTGAGCCATGTCGTGCCAGGCAATGTGGCATTGGCTCTGTTTCCCACAACCAGGACAAGAGTGCACTTTGAGCTGCAGGCTGCTCCTTTTGTGTTCAAAAAGAAGAAGAAAATAGCATTCACCAAGCCAGCATGATGTTGCTGAAATGAGGAAGAACAAACGTGGAGGAAAATAATAACAATAATGAAAATAAACGTAGGAAGTACCGGAAATAAAAGGGAGTCTTGCATGTTGCCTTTTTGTACTATAGGAACGGGGGGTGTGACTGAATATCCAAACCACCTCCGCCACAGAGATGCCACCCAATCACTGTGTGTGTGCTTTGCAGAGCTCCTCCCCTCTCCTTCTGGCTGAGCGGAGACCTTTAGAGAAACTGCCTGTTCTGGATCATGCAGACTGTAACATATAAAAGCTGTTAGCAGCTCCTGTGGCCAGAAAGCTTCACAACCAGCAGAGTTTTGTTCTTTGGGGGTTTGTAATAAGAGACATTCCTTCACAAAGGTTCATATCACCACATAGGAGAGTGCTATATATACTGGGAGAACAATAGACTGTATTCTTTTTTGATATTATCCAGAGGTAAGCCATTTAGCTCAATAAGCTTGCTTTGCATGCACTTTTAACAATGCTCATCACATTTTGCTGTAGTTATGATCTGAATGCTATTTCTAAGATGTTTTCATGCTTTATATGTGTTCTTTTGACTACTAGTTTATCTGTGCCACAGGATGTCAAAACAACCCATGCATAAAGGACAGGCATAACCTGGGATGTATTTTTTTTTTTGTTTTCAGAGCATAACATTCTGTGAGGTTTCTTGCAGTCTCCAAATTTAAGATATATAGTGTGGTTTATGGACTGAGCTGGTGTGCTACCACTGTCACTCTTTCAGGAGCACTACTAGCTCTGATCATGTAATTCAGGGTATAATGATATTTCATCTGCTGTGTTCATAGTAAGAAGATATTATCATTTAATGATAATATGGTAAGTGAAAATTGCTCAGAAATATGTGTTCTGACTGGATTGTTTTTGTAATTGAGCTGACAGAATCATTTTTCAGACCACAGCCTGTCAATTCACTTTGTCTTGCTAACCGGATGTTCAGAATCACATCTTTGACATCTTCTCTTCTACAGATCTGTTCCCTACTGCCCTGACTTAAAGCAGAGTACCTCTGTGTCCTTTCTCCTCTGGTCCCAAAATGACAGCAATCACTGCAATCAGTTGTGCTTTCTTATTTTCCATTCTCTGTGAAACAAGTGCATTAGTGTTACCCAACTCCACTGACCTACTCCTGTCAAACAATAATTTCACTGACATTGAGACGGCTTTGGCAGCTCATCTGGACTCTGCAAAAATTCCCAAAGCCAGGCGGAAGCGCTACATTTCACAGAATGACATGATTGCCATTCTTGATTATCATAATCAAGTCAGAGGCAAAGTCTTCCCACCTGCTTCCAACATGGAATATATGGTAAGTGAACTTCATTTACCTCATAGTAAAACAAACTGTAAGCCTGTGATTTTGTTTTCTTAAGTTGTGGGGATTTAATTAGGCAGACAAAATATTTTTAACTCTTATTGCTTAATAAAACATTATTTTTTTGCATCTTTTAGAGTTGTACTAAAATATCTAAATACCAAACTCTGAACCTTTTACGAGCCCTGTTGATTTGCCAATTCCATGAGTAGTTCAAGTGAAACTGCTGGGACCCCAAGTAATGAAGTTGTGATTTAACTGCTAGTTGGCCTGAAGTGGCATAGGATCATAGTGTACATGATCATAACATGTGATCACATGTGCCTAAAGTGCTAACCATTAGCAGTCCCATTGTTTTTGTGGAGTACATTGAAAGTCATTGTCCTGTTGTATGCCAAAAAATATAGTTAATATTTCTAATTTATTTCACAAATAGTACTTTCAGACACAATATGGTAAAACTGCATTTGTAAAGCAATTCATTTGATGCACTGTGTGTATCATGCTCATGGTTTTTACTTACTGCATATTGTTCACCTAATATTCTTATTTTTTCTCCATCAAATACAATGCTTATTTTAGATGCTTTTCTATTATGCAGGATTGCAATGTGTTTGAATGTTATGTTTGTAGCAGACACCTTTTCACCTTATTGGCAAATACTCCTTATGTGAATTGTGTGTTCCTGCAGGTATGATACAAGTTACTCATTCTCCATGATTTCATACTTGGCACTTATAGCTAAAGCAGCATGTTTGCTGTTTCGTGTTCCAACTTTGAATGCGTGCATGTGAAGCTCTAATGTTAAATGTAGGTTGGCCAAGCAAAAAATATTTTACTTTCACAGCTAAGACAAGTTGTGTCAGCATCATAATATCTGCTTAAAGTCACAAAGCATCTCAGATGATGACAGTTAACAGTTTTGAGAAAACACAACACCATCAGCATGACATAAAAATGGGATAATAGTAATAACTTCTCCTTTTTAGCAGCTAATGACTAACGGTTTGGACATCTCTCTATCACAGATGTTACCTAAATCTGGATTTGATCATTTAATTTCTTAGCACATCCCAACAACACCTCAAAATGCTGAATGCATTCAAAACATTGCAGGATGAAGTCCTATAGCCATACCATAGTCTGAGTTTGAAGTTTGTGAAGTGGAAAGGTCAGAGACAGAAAAATAGAGAGGTCAGAAGTCAAGCTCAGTCATCATTTTTATTGCTGAGCTCTCCACTGACGTTTCCTTTGATTCTGCATAAATAAACTTTGTTGTAATGTCTGAGGGAATGGCAGCCTACCATGTCTTTCCTTGGCTTGTGTGTTTTAGAAATGTGCTCCTGCAGTTTGCTTAAGTGAAGCCAGCACCCTGTTGTATTCCCAAAAGTTTTGTGAGTGCAGTGTTCTTAGCCTGTTCAGTAAAAAAAATACTTCATAGAGAAAATCTTCTTTGATTAAATCTACATTTATTTCACTCACATGCTAAAACTGCCAAGGTTTCACATATATTTGTTGTATGTTCTGCTGCAGCTTTCCTCTGCAATGGTACTGTGTGAGGTACTGTGTGCGGTACTTGATACAGAATCAAGACTGGGTCCATGCTCTTTACAACGTACGCATTACTTTTTTTCCTTGCTATTCTTACTATTGCTTTTACCAGTACCACCCAGCCATGGGATGTGCCTGTGTTTCTATCATCATCAGCCCCATCAATAGTCACAAGGTCAAGGTCTAAGGCTTTCTTTCACCTTTGTTTTCCCAGCTTGAAAATAGTTTGTTCTTTCATGCAGCAGAATTCAGAGCACCACATCAATTTACTTAGGTAATGCTCTAGAATGCAACTCCAGCTTGAATCTCCAAGTGGAAGGTAACCTCTTGGCTACTAATTATATTTCAGAATTAACCAATCCATGTCTGACTTATATAATGTTACAGAAAAAAAAAAAAAAAAAGCCCGGTGAGCAACATCACACATAGGTGTGACAGCAACCTCAATTTAACTTCTTAACTTTGAGGCTTCAGAAAGGTTTTGGTCGGAAGGTCTAGAAGATGGCATGGTGTTGTAAGCCTACCAAAGCTGGGGACCCATGTATCATTAATGCCCAAGTGAACTTGATCAGTTCATTCTTTAGTCTCTGTCTAATTATGTGTATGGCACAGCATCTGCTTTGTATTATGTGAACATAAGATTACTGCTGTTATATATAAATGAGACTGTGCCATTCAATATGCATTTCCAGAAACAACAAGCATATTACCATTACCAGCAGACAATATGCACAGTGCTGAAAGACTGTTACAGAGTGTGTGTTCCTGTTCTGAACACTATGGAAAAGTGCAGTGATAGTGATGAAAGTGGCCTTTTCCCATTAGCGATATGGTTTAGTGGAGGACTTGTTAGTGTTAGGCCAGAGGTTGGACTCGATGATATTGAGGTCTCTTCCAACCTAGACAATTATGTGATTCTCTGATATAAGTATCTATAGGTGCATTAGATTGTGGAAACCTCTTGTAAGTGTGATGAAGTAGAGATGGCCTACGCATGAAGTAGAGATGGCCTAAGCAGTTCAGAAACACACACACACAAAAATATTTTCAATTCTATTCTCTGTCCACAGTCCTACTAAATCGTGTTTTGTTCTGTTTTCCTAATTCTGTTAGGATCTCTTTTCATGAATGTCTGTCACATTCTTACCTCTATAAAAATCTGTTTTATTTTCTTCTTCACTGGTAAGAGCTTAGGGTTTAGCAATGTGGGTTGGTTCTTTAATCTGTACCTGTTGTCTTGAAACTTTGTGTGCTTAGGACTTTTGATGAGAGGTCGCAAAAAATGTCAAACAATGCACACAATAGGCAAGGAAGGTTCATCTGAACACTGCAATATGAGAAGTGGGGAGCATTTTACCTCCTTCTGGGAGAGGTGGGAGTTAGTGTTGCTCCATCCTGCTGTTGTATGCAGTCTCTGAAGTAAGTAGACAGATGGGGTGTCAAAAGCAATGATGGGAAGCATTGTTCAATTGTTAGTCCATAGAGAAAGAAACTGCATGTTTTATGCACTGTGGGTCAATAAGACTTTGGGTAATCTTTCTCTTGGGATGTTAGCACTCTATGAGTCATACTCCCCTTTCCCCTTTTTTTTTTTTTTTTCTTTTTCCTGGTGCTGGTAGTGCTGATGCCTTTGATTTGAAGTTTTTCTGCAAGTACAAGTCTAGACTTAGTGAGTGAGGAAAGGAAAGCAAATGAAAAAGAAAACAAGAACTTCCAAACCTATAATGTAGAAATAATGTCCTCTGCTTTTAATTTGGGTCTTTTTATATCCTTTATTCCTTTTCATCCAAAACTGTCATTCTGAAGCCTTCACATGTGCCCTAAAAACTGATGCCATACCTGCAGAATAAAGGATGACATAATACTTTTGATCTGGTGGAGGCTGGGTCATGTGAGGTTCTGCAAAGATGAGTCCTGAGCCCAGTACTGATCAACGCAGTAATTAATAGACTGGCAGTAGCATGTCAAAAGTATAAAAGATGGGACAAGATTATACACTCAAAAATATGAAGCTAGATGTTTGTGGAATGCTGCCTGAAGAGCAGAGAAATGTTCTAGATAAACTTGAGCCTATTAATGTATGGAAGACGGTCTGCTAGAGTTTCAATTCCTTTTTGTTCAGTGATTGCATAAGTTCTTTTATATTTAGGGAAACATGGCCTTCAGTGAATGTGTCACTTTTTAGGACTCAAAGTACTAACAGATTTCCAGACTAGCATGAAATCAATTAGCTTGGATAGCCAGAAGTAGCTTCATGGCAACACAACAGAAGAGAGTTTCTCATGAGCCGGTGGCAGAGGAGTTGAAAGGAATGGAGAATCTTAGCTAACTCATCTTCTACTGAATTCCATACGAAGGAATGTGATAATATGGACAAAATAAATCAATAGTTGCTCTAAAATAAAAGTAATTGTGTTCCAAAAGAAACTCCTATAGTGTGGGCTAAGGCAAAATCACAAAGGAAATCTGTTCACTCTGTAATGCCCAGGGGTGGCCTTTCTTTTGCTAAGTGATGAATATGGAGACTGCTTTGTGTCCACAAAGATCTGCAGGCAATATGCAAGGTCAGTTCAGAGAAGGAAGAAAATAGTCTACTTAGTGGTCACAGATATAAATAACTTCAATACTGTTTCGTTCCTGAATGTGAAAGTCTTCATAAAATTTTCTTGCTGTCAAGGTGATCTTAAAAATGTTTTTTGAATATGCTACAGGTTCTGGGTAAGAAAAACAAAAAATAAAATGTTTTCTAACTACTTCACATTTTCCAAAGTCCTATTAATACCTGAAAGCCTTTCATATGAACATGGAAAAAGTGAGTTAGTGTGTTTTTCACTCCAATGCAAGAGTATTTCTGATAAATAAACTTCTCAACTTGTTTACCTATTTTTGCTGTTGTCAGTTTGGTTTCTTACAAACCAGTCTAAATCTTGGAGGACATTTTGTACTTGAGTTGTTTGCCCTGGCTCATCTACATTGTCCCACTGAAATCATCCATGCCTGTAAGGACTACATGACTAGTTTCTTCAAGATTTATGTCTATTGAGTTGGATAGGATCTCTTAATTCATATAGTTTATCCCCACCCTGTTGCAGGACTTCCTTCTGCATTAAGTACATATGGTTTTCATCTTGTCTGCTCCTGAACACATATAGTGATGCTGTCTCAGTCACATCTCTTGGCAAATATTTTACCTTAGGAATCGAAATGATTTCCAAATGTCTAACCTAAATATTTCCTTCCAAAACTCAGATAATTAATCTTTATATTCACTTTAACTGTCCAGTAGAACTTCTCTCCTTGTTTCATTTCAAACATTATTTTTCATATATTTACTGCCAGTTTTCTTGGAATTAATTAAGTTGCATTAGTAATGTATGTATATAATGGTTCCCTAATTTCCATGTGCATGTCTTATAATATTTCTGCATATTGGAGCCAATTAC